ACATAGAGGATGAAGCCAGCGTGCGAGCCGTTGGCGTAGTAGCGACGGCGGAACAGCGTGGCGGCCTCGTTGAGCAGGGCCGACTGCACGGCGCCCAGATACTGCGGCAGGCCGTATACCTCCTGGTGAATGTCGGGCTCGCGCAGATGGAAGACCTGGCCGGCCGGGAATTCGTGCTCGTTCTGAAAATCGCTGATCTGGAAATATTGCCCGGCCTCTTTGCCGCGCCGCATGTACTTGCCAAGCGTGTGCTCGAGCCGGAGCAGGCTCCCCACCAGATTGCGCCTACTTTCCAGATAGCCATTGCCCAGCGTGAGGTAGTCCAAGGCGAAGGCCTGGAAGGCACCAGGCGAAAGATAGGGCGACGGCATCAGCGTGCTGGTCAACACGTTGACCTTGAAGCGGATGGCGGACTCATGGTGGGCGCCGACACGCAGCATGCGCGCCAGATCAGCAAAGCTGACAGGCGGCTCATACCAGCGGCCGTTATCCATGCACTCGATGTATTCGAGGATGGAAGCGCGCCCGCCCACCACTGGCTCAGGATCGCCAAAGGTGAACATCACAGAGCGCGCGGCGCCTGCGGGCGCGGATTCGGCGGCTGCAGTATTGCCGGGCGCTGCGCTGGCCTGGGTGGCTTCGGTCATTCGGATATCTCCACAAAGGATTGCGAGAGCGTGGAGCCGGCGAACTCGGTCCCCTGCTCCAGTGGTTCGTTGGAAAGCGCATTCATGGTTGCCCACGCCAGATCACCGTGGCCGGTCTGCTCCGAACGGCCGCTGCTGTAGGTGATGGAGCGGCCCGTGGGTGTCATCTCCTGCTTGACCGACATGAAGCTGGCGGCCATTTCCTTGTCGTCCTGGTCGAACTCCAGCCGGCCTGCACGCAGCACGGTCTGGGCCTTGAGCACCAGCAGGATCTTGGCTTCGAGGCTGTAGCGCAGGCCGCGCACGGCGGGAAAGAACTTGCGCACAAGCTGGTAGACGCCCTGCCCCATGCCGGTGGTGTCGATGGTCATCTTCTCGACGTTGAACTGCTTGCAGATGCGCTGAATTTCCGCCGCCTGGTCCTCGTACTCCATCTTGTGCATCTGCTTGCGGTACAGGATGCGGAACTTGCCGCCGGGCTTTTCAGGCGGCGCCAGGACCACCAGCGCGGCCTTGTCGCCGGTATGGCTGGGGTCATATCCAACCCACACGCCTTTGTGCCCGAAGGGCCGCTGTGTGAAGGCCTTGAAGTCCTTCCATGCCTCCCAGGGGTCCACCATGCCGCGCTGGAGCAGCGACAGCGGAAACACGGCCAGCGCGTCATCCATGAACTGGCACAGGTACAGATTGGCGAAGACAGTGGCGGCCTTGGTGGAGCGCAGGTTCTCGATGTCGAACAAGGTGCAGCCGCCGCGCTCGGCATCCTCGATCGTGACGATGTGGCGCCAGATGCCGTCCGCGCCTCGAAAGCCGTTGGCCAGGTGCTCATGGCGCAGGTCGATGTCCAGCTTGCGGTCGGTGATGTGCGAGCCGTTCCACAGCGCGTAGGCCTCATGCTGCAGGCTGGAGGGTGTGCTGAAATACGTCAGGCGCCATTGCTTGTGCGACGACATGCCACTGGCCACGTTGTTCAGCTCGGTGAAATTCGTGGTCCAGAAATATTCATCGAAGTACAGATTGCCGTGGTAGCTCTGGGCCGTGCGCGAGTTGGTGCCCAGGAAAATCAGCTCGGCCCCATTGGGCAAGATGATGGGATCGCCTGTGAGCGTGACACCAATCTCCTTCTTCACGAAAGCGATGATGTAGTTGCGGAACACTTGGGCCTGGTTTTTACTGGC